TAATAATAAAGACGATAGACACAACCATGATGGTGATAAATATGATGACAGTAATTACGTCCCAGTGAGTGATGTTATTCCCACAGGGATTTGGACTGGCGAGCGATTGCTTCAAACGTGAGAGCGTTATCAATTACACCAACGAGCCAGGATACCCGCATCCTTAATTCCACTGCTAGTCACTATCCATCATTACTATATAGTTAAGAACATAGGTAATATTGAGGCATTCGCACGGGAGTCCATATGCTAACAGAGACTGATCATTTCAGTCCAATTGACGACGGTGTAATACATGCAATAATGATAATGCTTATAATGATGATTATGGCAGTCATGATGATGTCATTAATAATAGTGCTAATGGTGGTGATGATGATTACAATTCTGATATTAACAGTAATGACGATTATAATGGTGATGGGGACAAGAATGATGATGTTAATAATCGTAATAATAAAAATAATAATGACAGTAATGGTGATGGTTATATAATAATAATAGTAACAATAATGATAAAAATAATGGTAATAATAATGATGGTATTAGGTGTAATATTAGTCATGAAAATCATAGCAATGATTATCCTGGTAGTAACAATATTAATTATGACAATGATAGTCATAACAGTGAAAATGAGTAATATTATCAATAGTAATAAGAATGACAATAATTTCTACAATAACGACAACGATGATAAGAAAAATTATCGTGAAAGTAACTATGATGGTAATAATGATAATACTAATATCAATGGTAATAATCATAATAAAGGTGATAATAATAGTAGCAGTGGTAATAATAATAATAACAATGATAAGGACTGGGATGATAGCAATGATAATTATTATGATATCAATGGTCATGATGATAAAATTATAACGAAAAAAAAAATAATTATAATTATAAAAAAATAATAAAGATGCTAATAATCGTGACAATAATGAACTTTTAAATTTTGAGGGGGTTGGATCCCTGCTGGTGGGGTCGTGGATGCGCACTGCTGAGGAGTCCCATACTAGGGCGAAACAGCTGTCCAGTGCTCCCAGGTTTCCTTTGTTCCTCCAACTGATGTCAGTCTTCGATGAATAACAACTTGAAATAATGAACTTTAACGTCAATATTATTAGTAATCATAATAAGAATAATCATGATGGTAATAATAATAACATAAGTAATAAATATGTCAATGCTCGTAGTAATAATAATAATAGTCATAATGATACTAATAGTAATTATATTGGTAATAATGATCACAATAAAAATAATACTTTTACTAATAATGACGATAATAGTTATGATAATGATAATAAGAGTAATGTTGTAATGAGTAGTGATGACAATAACCATAATGATGGCGGTAATGCTAAAAATAATAACGATGAAGGTGATCATATAATAATGGTAATAATAATCACTATGATAGTATTACTAATGGTGATGATAATAGTAATGGTCAGCATAATGATGATGTTGGTAATAATAGTGATGTTATTAGAAATAATCACAATCATAATAATAATGATAATGTTAATAATGACAATGGTGATAATAAAGATAATAGGCATAATGATAATGATGATATTAATGACAACAATAATGTTAATAATGATGAAAATAATACCAATAATATTAATGATGGGGAAAATACTCACGCTGACAATCATGATAATGTTTACAATAATAAGAATATTGGTGATACTAGTAATAATAATCGTACCAACACGAATGATGATGCTGATACTACTAATAATAATATTCCTTACGGTACCAATGTAGACGATGATGTTGATAATAATGGGAATAACATTAATATCACTAGTAGTGATGCTGGTAGCAATAATGACGACAATGGTCAATTAGGATAATGGCGTTAACAATAATAATTACTGTATTAATACTAACAATGATAATAATGATGGTATTGATGGTGATATTAATAACAAGAATGATACTAGTCGTACCCGTAATGATAATTATGCCAATAATAGTACTTCTTACACTACCGATAATGATAACGGCAATAATGACGATGATCGTAATGATGGTACAGATAACAATAATAATAATGATAATAATATTCGTAATGAGTATGATAAGGAAAGTGATGATGATATGATAGCAGACAATAATACTGAAGATAATAATAGTCGTACAAATAATGATGTTGATAATAATAATAATAGTAGTTATATTGATGATAATGATAATAACAATAATAATAGTAATAATAATGGTAAGCATAACACTGATTGTAGTAGTAGTAACACGAATTATGATGATAATCGATCATACTGGTAATGGCAATAATCGTAATAAAATTAATAATTTTATGTATGATGATGATGTAATTCATGATAATAAAAAGAATAATGAAGTTCGTAACGATGAATAATAATAATAATAGTAGTAAGAATAAAAATCGTGATGACGATGATAATAATACTAATGGCATTAATAATAAGGATAATATTGGTAATGATGAAAATGCTGATGTTGAGAATTATGATAGTGTTTGCAGTAATAACAATAATACTAACTATAGTAATAGCAATGATGATAACGTTGATATGATAATAATAATAATAATAATAATAATAATAATAATAATAATAGTGATAGTGATTTTATTAATGACAATTTTAACAATGTTCACGATGATGATGATAATGGAAATAAGGATCATGATAATAGTAACTATATTTGTAATAATAATAATAATATTAATAATAATAATAATGATAAAGATAATGTTGATCGTAATAATTATTATGCGAATAGGATTGATGATAATATAATAATAAACGATAATGCTGAAAATAATACCAGTCATAATAATAATAATGGTGATGATGACGAAAATTTGAACCGCGGCAGAATTCGAACCATCGACCACCGGGTTTCCGGCGTGATGTTCTACCAACTGAACTACAAGCATCGCGCCAGAAACCCGGTGGTTGCTGGCTCGAATCCAGCCACAGTTCAAATTGTCACTTCACCTTCAACTATCACTTGGTATCAATACTAGTCTGTCAAACTACGGCCATCTCAGATAGTCAAGTAATGATGTTGATGTGATACTAATAATGCCAGTAGTCATAGCAACAATTTTATTGATGATACTGACAACAGTATTTATGATGATAGTAATTATGGTAATAATAATAATGTAAAAGATGATAATGACTATACTAGTGATGATGATAATAATAATAATAATACTGAGAGTAATAATAGAGATGTAAGTAAGGAAAATAATACTTGTCATGGTAGTAGTAATAATGTTTGTAATCGTGATGATAATAAAGATAATGGTAAGAATGACAATGAATATAGTGATAGTGATAATAAAAATTACGATGGTATCGGTAATAATAATAATAATAATAACAATAACGATGATGATAACAATAATGACAATAATGATTAAAAAAATAATGTTAATACCTCTGATGATAATAGTCATAATAATAATGAGGTGGTGATACCAATAATAATGATAATAATAATTATCAAGAGAATAATGCCAATGACGATAATAATAATAATAATAATAATAATAATAATAAAGATTGTAATAGTGATGGTTATTTCAACATTCATGATAATCATGAAATAACAATAATCTTGATAATGGTATTAATAATAACGTAAGTGATGATAGAAGTAATAATGATGTATTTTTGAGATGAATGGAGATTTTTTTAAATTTAGAAGTAGTATTCATCATGGACTGACATTAGTTGGGGAGCCATTGAAAACCCGGGAGCACTGGATAGCTGATTCATCCAAATAATATGGGACTCCTGAGCAGTACGCACTCACGACCTTCAGGTTTCACGGCGGAATAGTTGTCCAGTGCTCCCGGGTTTCCAATGGTTCCCCAACTGATGTTAGTTCATGATGAATACTAATTTTAAAGTAATAATTATAATAACCGGATTGTTGTTCCCGTCGGGATTCGAACCTCGTGCCCATCGCTTCAAACACCAATACGTTATCCACTATGCTACAGAGGAACGATAGCCACTTCTTGTTCAACGGGTAGCAGTTATTACTATTTATTGACATACTTGTTATTCTCCATTATTTTGTTTGATGGAATTGTTCGACCTGTGTTGGCATATGGGCTCGTATACGGAGATGCCTCGATATTGCCTGAATGTTAATTATGATAAATTGGTTGGTTGTGGCTACGAGAAGAATCCAGGACGCGCTTTTCGCGTCCTATTTAGGCAATATCGAGGCATCCTCGTATAGGAGCTCATATGCCAATAGACATCGAACAATTCGATCCAACAAAACAATGGAGAATAACAAGTATGTCAATGAATAGTAATTATATGAATGATTTTAATGATGATTATAATCATTGTAATATTGATAATATTCATAACAATAATGATAATAATTTGGTCTAGATTTCAAGTTGTTATTCATCATAGACTGACATCAGTTGGAGGAACAAAGGACCGGTGGAGTCAAAGCCTGATGGCCATGAGGACAGATACTCAGCGTTGACATTGGGTGGCGGTTGCGCTATATATCGTGAGCTAACAGAAGTTGGAAATATGGAGCATTGGATCCTGACCTGGTGGCTCAATGGTAACGCGCTGGCTGCGGAACCTGAAGGTCGCGGGTTCGATCCCTGCTGGTGGGGTCATGGGTGCGCACTGCTGAGGAGTCCCATAGTAGGACAAAACAGCTGTCCAGTGCTCCTAGGTTTCCTTTGTTCCTCCAACTGATGTTAGTCTACAATGAATAACAACTTGAAATAATTCCAAATCTCCACAACTCCCTCAAAATTTAATTGATCTAGATTATTTATTTTTAGCGTAACAATACGATCTAGATGTTTATTCTTGATAGTAATCGGTTTCAATTTTAATTTTCTTTTACTCTGGTCTCTTGAATAGTTGTGTTTAGTTGATAATTTAAAAATTTTATTCAATACAATTATCCCATTATATTTTTTTCTGGTAAAATAAATTTCTTTTTAGATGATCTGTTACGCTGGATAGTGTTTATCCGATTCACTTCATTAGCATCAGATATACATTTATCTATGGAAAGTGAAGATGAATTTATTCTATTACCAAATCATAAATCAAGAATAATTAGCAAATCTTTTGATGAATCTTTTAGTAATTCTATTCCAAAGTATATTTCATCATTACATTCAGAAGATATACATTCACAGGATGTATATGATCCATCATTTACCAATTATCTGACAAGTAACTTTGATGATTATCCAAAAGTTAGTTAACGTAACGCTAATTACCTTTTTCTCGGTTACTATTATATTATTATTATTATTTATTATTATTATTATTATTATTATTATTATTATTATTGTAGTAGAAATATGGTACACCAAGAACACCAAGAAATTATTATTATATTATTTGTCCCTTTGCTTCCTAATAGGACATAGGGCTTCAGTAGCACGTTTCCATTCCACTCTGTTCTCGGCAGTCACTTGAACCTGGCTCCACGACAGCCAAGTAGCTCTCATTTCTTCCTCGCACCATCTCCTCTATGTCAACTTCACCTCGGACACCCAACTCGTCGTTTCTCATCTGAGTTCAACTCGACGGGCTGACCTGGTGTATGATGTCCCCAGTCGGCCTTCTCAGTGTATGCCTAATTCATCTCCATTTCCTTCCCGTGCATATTTGTTGAGCGATAAGTTGTTGGTTGGTTCGTTACCAGCCAGCCGGAGTTAGTTACTTGTTGCCTATTCCCACTTTTCTGGCCATTTAACCTTTAGTAACGAGCCAGCGTTGGTGGCAGTTGTTGATGAATGTCTGTGATTTGTTGGGAATGCCTTTCGTAACGCGCCAAGTCTCTGATCCATACAGGAGCACTGACTTGACGTTGGTGTTTAAAATCCGGATCTTGTTCTTTATACTGAGTGCAGAAGATCTCCAAACTGGTTTCAGGTTAATGAAGGTCTGTCTTGTTGTGTTTCCGATCATGGCTGCTTTGACATCCTCGTCTGTGCCTGTGCCACCTGTAGTTGAAACAGTGTTGCCTAGATAGGTGAAAGAGGCTACTTCCTTTAAGTTTCTCCCGTTGACGGTTGGGTATCTTCATTACCTCTGTCTTCTGTACATTCACTTGAAGTCCCATCTTCGCTTAAATACGGAAACGACATTCCTAATAACTATCCTCTGGAATTCATTAAGAAGTTTTCAAGGACTGATAAGAGAAGAGATTTCAAATCCTTTGTAGTGTTGCCGTATAAATAAGGTATGTGGGAAATTTTACGTAGAACTCCTAACAATGATAGGAGGAGTAGGGTGGTAGTTAAACGCATAAATTTACTCACAGAGAAACTTCGTATGCTGAAAGATCTGTCGTATACCATGTGATGATTATCAGGTCAAGTATATGGACCAAAGCAGCCGATCACGGTCAGTCAAAATAGTGGAGCACAAAAATTTAGCGAAACACATAATGGTAAACCTTACCAAGATAAGTAATCTAGAGAAAAAACTCGGCTATCGCTCTGCATGCACTAACCCATAATCACACTACAGCCTGGGTCGGTGGGATAGGCTGACAATTCTGAAATCCTATATACTTGGCTAGGTGGATGGAGAGACTGATCACTAAATCTTTGTTCAAGAATGACTCATCACATAGTCCAGATATATAGAGAATTTTACTACCATTAAAATAAAATAATGAAGAACTGTTGGACCATATAGTTGAAGTCTGAACATCGTATGATTACATTCATATTGGCGACTATCAGAGGAGTCTTGGACACGCGTTTTGTCCTATTTGGGACTCGTCAGCTGGTTGTACCTACATCCCAGTCAGTGTTGTTCGCACTGAAACTTAAACCTCGTCCCCATCACTTCAAACACTAACGCGTTAACCACTTTGCCACTGGGAGACGATAGACACTTCTTGTACAAGGAGTATTGAGGCATCCTCAGAGGAGCTCGTTTACCAATATGAAATTATACTCCTATCACAGTGCCCTAAGTTTTACTGATAAGTTAAATCTTGATATTATGTCAGCACTTTAGTGTTGAAGATGTCATCAGGTCGATTGATGAAACATTCATAACAAAATATCCGCTATGTATTACATCACTCAGGTGTCTGAGAGTTTTCAGAAGGGTGGTATGGATTTGGTTTTTGTGCTAAAAATTCAGTGATTTACACACATTATCATTTCATCCTGTGAATAACTTGACACTGTCCTCAAACTTCTCTCAGTTCTATTCTGTAAAGGATATAGTAAAGCACTTAACATCCTTACCTCGTATTCAATCGGATAACAAGTCGTATTAGTCAAAATTCTGTCATCTGGGATCAAGGATGAATGCAGGGTTTCTGAGGCATGCTTACAGGAACCACACATGATAACTCACTTGATTTCACATGGGCGTCATCCTTCAGGTATCTGAGACCTTAGCAGCTAGTTCTTGTGGTCTTACAGTTGTTAATTAAGCATTATGTTTTAGGATAGAAATGGAACTGCTAGACCAACTTCAAGTCGACAGCTACAGATGTGTGAATATTTAGATGTCAAGGAGTGAATACATTTGTGCCATTATGACCGATTTCCAGCAATGTCACTAAGAGTCCTCAATCATTTATTTATTTCATCTCGGGGACCCCATTTAGGCAGTCTACATCTCCCAACATGGCTCAAGCCAATAATCAGGGACTTCATCGACTAGTGCCACGTTTCAAATCCCCTTCTAACCTAATCTAACTTCCTCTAGCATGGCACATTGAGGAAGGCGGTGGCTCGGCACGCGCGGTACCCGTTCCAACCAAGGTTCACAAGCTCATCAGTCGACTTGCCCCTCCCCTGTAACCCTTCGCCTGACCTCAACATTGCTCACAAGGTGATTCCACCAAATGTGACCAATCCCAGAAAGACGCCTATGGTCAAAACCCTGCAAACGCTTCATGTTATCTACTTTGAACGGCCATGTCTCACAGCAGTATAACACGACACAATGGACTGCGATACAGTTTACTCGTCATTTGATAGATACCTGGATATCTGATATACGCCTCAGGTGATAGAAATTGGCGAATACCGAACGGGCCTTCTATATCCGAGTTGAGATTTCATCAGCAAGCAACCCATTCGGTTTGATGCAACTTCCCAAGTAAGTGAAGTAGTCGATACATTCCACCCCTTCACTTCTTATCATCAAACTGGAAGTTATTGCAGACTAGTTGTAAACCTACATCTGACATTTGAAAGATGCGAAAAGTATTCCAATTGCATTCAGATTTCTGCCCAACGCGTTCAGAAGACCCTACATTTTGTCAGCGGCTTCACCTAGCAAGACAGTATTGTCTGCATATTCCAAGTCAACTGATGACCTCCAGGGAGTAGAAGGTCAATTTCTGTGAAATTAGACGTGCTTTGGGTTATGTCTACTAGTTTGTCTATGACAAAGTGAAATAAAAACGATGATTTTGGACGTCCCTACTAGTTGTTGTCAACTCACTTGAAAACTCACCATAAGCCCTGATAAGGTTGCATGAGTTTGAGTGGAGAGCTTTGGTAAGCACTGTATACTTTCTTGGTATTCCTTTTACAGTTAGACTCTCCTAAAACACTTCGACAGAGTCAAGTACCGACCTCAGGCCAAGAAATGTGGCAAGTGTCCTCCACTAGTCGGTAGATATGCCTGTGTTCCAGAATCTGTCGGAGGATCAGAATAGGATCCATGCACCCTCATCCGGGTTTGAAACCTGCTTGGTTTTCTCGATTATGTTGTCTTCGACTTTTCTCAGCTCTACGCTCCACAGAATATATTGGGACACTTGGCATCCTTACCTCGTGTCTAATCTGACAACAAGGCGTATTAGTCAAAATTCTGTCATCTGGGATCAAGGATGAATGCAGGGTTTCTGACGCATGTTTACAGGACTCACGTATCAAGCTCACTTGAGTTCATGTAGTCAGTGCTGCATGTTGGCATGCTTCACCCTTAAGATATTTAAGATCTTAACAGCTAGTTTTTGTGGTCTTGTAGATAGAAATGAAACTGCTAGACTGGATCCCAGTCGACAGTTACATATACTCCATTTCACAGCATGACATAGTATGAATGAAGTAGGATCATAATGTACCTGATATCTTCAATAAGCTTGAGTGAAAAATGTTTGGCTCAGTACTCAAAGACACATAGCTGTAGCAGGTGGCTTGAGTGTACAACCAACGAAGCTAAGGCAAGCAGAACAGTACTTAAGTAATGCTTTTAGAATCCCCGCCCCATTCAAGCGATAATGGTGATCACTGAGTACAACTGTTCTAGATAGTTACCTATTCTTATTAAGCATCAATTCCAAGTATAAAGATAGGTGTTATGTCACTTGGTAACCACTGACATCAACCCAACGTTGGGAACAGATAAATCATGTATCTGTTAGTCATGGCTGTAGATGGTTAGTAAAAGGATTTCTACTTCCTCTGGAGTGTGTGTTCGAGTACTTACCATGCTGTTTTTCACACATGCATCTGTTTGCACTTGAATGGAAGTGGGAACGGTACAACTGAAAGAATCCTTTTAAGCATAGTCTAATGATGAAGGTAGTAAAATCTACTTAGGAGAACACTGAGTAAACAGTTAGTGGGACATGATAACGCTACTCATTTTGATAAAATATGAAACTGATAGAGATAGCTATTAACTTCCAGAAGAAGATGAGAATGTGTAGGTGGATTTCGCTATTAACATCATCTGAATTAATAAGAGTGTAAGTGAACGCATTCCCGTAAACTCCGAGCACATCAATAAACAGCGGAAACCGCGTAAATATAGAAATAACAAAAGTTCCTTCAATGACTATAAGGGATGATGGGCAACGAATAGTAAATAAATGAAGTGGAGAAAGCGATGATAGTTGGTTGTAAACAGTTGCTTACAGTTATTAAAGAAGAGAGGGTAAGAAAGTTGACATCGAATGAAATTGTATTTCATAAAGATGAATCTTCGATCATTTCATAGGGAAGATAACTGGACTAGTGAGTAGAATACTATAAGGAAAACTTCGAATATCCCTCACCTGCTGTTCACCTTTCTAGTATCCAGTAGGAAGCTGAATGGAACATTGAAATCGACTTTGATTCGTCTTGAAGTCGACTGGAATGTAAGTGTAAATTGCAACGAAATCAAGTGACACGTTTTTATAGGCTTGATGCCAGACATGTATAATTGTATTTCCATAAAACTTTCAGTCTGATGAACTGAAAAATTGGTTAGTATGGCAGGGGGAAATGCATCATCTCAGTTACTGATTGTTACAGTCTTCAGGCAATCATAATCAATCATTGTTTAATCGCAGTTGAACAGGAGAAAACCTGAAGAGTGAAAATTGATTTGAAAAGTAGTCGTAAGTGTATTGACTAATTCTTTGCTCTGTTAGATTTCGGGACACACACCTCCAAGAATCGGTATCATCTTCTGCTTAATTTTTTAACTTCAAGAGTTTATAGTTATCTAATGCCTAACTGGAGCTTAAAAACAAAAATACTGCAGAAAATCAGAAAGGTTTCAGACATTTTTGACGGTGCTTTGGTCAGATCTACATCCTTTGGCAGGAGACTAACAGGCAACTGACAATTGGTATATTTCTTGACCTGAAGACAGTATTCAACTATGTCGGCTGTAAAGTGTTCTGGTAGTGTTTGACTGCAAAACACCGGAAAAATCATAAAAGTCAGAGCTGGCAACATAGTGTATGAAGTTATTGCGGGAAACTATACTCTAGCCAGATATGCTTGTCACCTACCTTCTAAATTCAGACAGCCTTCAAGAAGTAACACTCGAGTAAGCCAACTTCCAATCAACACCATGTTAGACACCTTGTCATTGTCAGATAGCCAGCCAAAGCCAAATATGCGTGCAATCCCATGTATAAGAAAGTCGATAGGGTTGAAAAATCCAACCAATAGGATACCGATGAACCTGCACCGTGCGTCATATGACTCGCCGGATGCATAGTACAAGAAGGAATGAGAGCTACAATGAATCAGTTTCGAATACCCCTCATATTCTCTGTCTTTGTTCTCATTCTTCTACATTTTGATTTGCCTGCCACCTCTTTACAGCTTTGTACACTTGGCATGTACTTTACTAAAGGCAACTAGTTTTGCATTGTACTTGCACATATTAAGTCGGCAGTCTCCTTTATCTCATCTAACCGGAGATATAGCAATAGTACTGAATATAAAAGCATGACGTGATAGTTAACATTTGAATCATTTTCCCACAAATTCACTATTCCGCACTGTGAGCGCACAAACTATTTAGTGTCACTCTTGTAGGTAATTGAAGCCAGATAGGTAAGCGCATAGGACATTGCATAAAGGTGTGTGTGTCCGTTCAAGTTACCATAGTTCATAACACGTAGCGAGGGGAGTTGAAAAGAAATAGAACAAAGGAGGGCAGTTGGGAAGTATCTCAGCATGCTTAGTACATGTTACGGCTGTAAATTGGTTGCCTTTTTGCATGGTAAAATTCATACTACTTATATATGTATGTAAGTAGTATGCATATGTGTATCTTTTAAATATCTCTAAATTTGATTTGTTTTAACAGTTGAATTTGCCGATTCGACCTGATCGATGTGTAGATAAATTAGAGTTGTATTTAACTCTACAACTGACCGAATGGATGAAGAGAATGGATTACAATAATCATTTTAATGAGAATGAACGAAGTAGAACAGAGCAAAATTCTGTCAACTATCTTTTAGAAGCTGAAAATCAATTTGATGGGATAAATATTCAATTTCTTCAAGAACAAATGGCTTCATTGAAAGTAGATATTTCTTTACTCAGTTGTGCAGCTGCTTTGGGGTAGGTTTAATAAAAGAAAAGGGAATTCTTTATGATACCGTTTGTGCTGTTGATGATAAGAATATAGCGTAATTAGAAGACGAAGTTTATCTGAACAATGTAATATATTTGTACAAAGCCTATTTTGGACAGTCTGATCACACGTTTACTTATCAAGTCAGTATATATTAAACCGAAGAGTGGGAGGACAAGTACAACAATTAACATAATAGGGGATTCAAATTAAGAAAGATGAGAACAAACAGGAAGAGTGACAGTGCTTGTATAGCTTGTATTACACCGCCGTTGATTGGACCGAATTGATCAGTCTCTGTTGGCATATGGGCTCCTGTACGGATGCCTCGATATTGCCTGTGTTTCAATTATTTATAGTAATGATAGGCAGTGGTTAGCAGTGGAATCCAGGATGCGCATTTAGTCCTAATTGGGACTCGTCAGCTAGATGTACCTGCCTCCCAGTGAATGAGTGATCCCGGTGGGAACAACGTCACTCTGCACTGGGAGGTATTTGTATCTACCTGACGAGTCCCAAATAGGACGAAATGATGAAGTGATATAGTTGATCCTGATCTTTGGTAAGAAAACCAGGTTTACCAAGCAAGTTTAGCTTAGTGCGTAATAGCATATGGTTTTCGTACACATAAAGATAATTTCAATTTGTTTGTGGTTTTCTGTTCCACAAATCTCAGTATACATCCTTGTCTGTTTCTGTGTATAAAACTTTGAAACTGTTTGCTAGTCGTGGATTCCACCCTTCGTGGAGTAGTTGAGGGGGGGGGGTACTGCTGAGTCGCATATTAGGACTAAGCATCTGTCCCATGCTCCCAGGATTCCCATTCTTCTCCGATTGATTTAAGTCCATAATGAGCACTACCTTAAATGTAAAATCCTCTTTAACCTCATAATAAATTAATCATCTATTTTATTTATCTTTCTTTTGGTGTTTAGTTATTCTGAGCTTATTTTAAGCCTTTTGCAATGGGCTGTACGAAGTTACTGTAATCAATCAATATCATTCTTTATTGATCATGATAATACTGTCAACTCAAAATTTGATGTTGAAAACGAGTTGTTTAAAAGTTTATCTCTACTTTACGGTAAGTTGTATTTATTTATGCAAAAGTAGCCAAGATATATACAGATTGAATATTATCATCTTCCATAATCTCTTCTTCACTCTCTCATCATAGATACCTTCCTAGTATTGCTGGCATTCGATGGAATCACTGTATGAGCAATGTTGAGGTCAGGTGAAGTATATTAGACAAGAAAGACAAGTTGATTGATGACGTTGTGAACCTTCATCCACTTGGCTTGGATAGGTGTTGGGCATGACGAACCACTGCCTACCTCAACGTATCATGCTAGAGGAAGTTGAATTTAGTTGATATAAGGTTGAGGGTGGCCGAACCAAGACATGGCACCAGTTGATAAAGTCCCTGACTATTGGCCTGAGTTATGTAGGGAGATGAAGACTGACTGACTGGTGTCCCCGCGACGAAGGAATTAGTATTTGGAGAATCTTGTTTACCTGGTTGAAAATCGGTTTCATTAGCGCAGATGTATTCACTCCTTGATATCTTGGGAAATCTGAACATTTGTACTAACCTTTTCTACTTTGATATCACTCTTTTTCCGTCTACTTGTTGATTGCATGCTGATGTAAAGTGTGGCAACTTGAACCGATGCACAATGTGTTCGAGGTTCTACGTTGATTTATCTGTCTGTGATTGTTCCACAATCCGAAATGGATGATTATACGTTGGCATTCGGGATGTGGTCATTTAAGACAAACATCTTCGATCTCAGTGCATTTGACCAACCTGTGTGTGAATCAACACTACCATTCAAGTATAAAAAGCTGTAATCAAATCTTCCTCTAACAGACTTACTACTCAATTTATCATCAATATATTCATGTTACGCTTTACATCTGAACTACAATATTCCTACATTATCATTTTTAAATAAGCTTGTTTGTATATCTTCCATTCATCCAACTACTACTCACCACTGATCAAACTTTTCATCTGTCTACATCCTCATGAGTAGTTGCTAAACAATCGCTTGTGAACAGCTGTCCTTCTTTGTGACATCTCATAAAACTATCCACAAACCATGTGTATCGTCTAAGCTAGCTGCTTTACCTAAGACTTCAGGACCCCGATGTGCAGATCGATCAACAAACAGACAGGATTAGTTAGGACTGTGAAAAGCCTCACTATTGATATGTGCTGTAGCATCTCAGAGACCTGTATACAACATCCAAGTGAAATGTTTGGAATAACGTCTCCACCTTTCAGCTGAAAAAGTGTGATTATTTGGTGATTTTATGGCGTTGGCTGCTTGCCTACTTGTTGGTGTTAGGCATAGATGTGCGTCGTTTAGAGGCGATTAGTTGGTCACTGGTCAGATACTGTGGAACGTCTTCTATAGCTTCATGAGGATGTCAACGTATTTCTAGCTAGGGCAGATTTCCTTCATAGGGATAGTCATTGGGCCACATGGGGTTGCTCTTTGTGCCCCAAATCGTGGACTCAAATAAACCATATTGTAGCTAACTACCGATGGAGTGAATTAACTCAAGACTTTGATCATACTTCAGTGTGTTCTGAGTCCATTTTGGTGGTCGTCTAAATCATCGTCATAAGTGGGTTTGCGCAAATAAGTTTGTTACTCTCAGTGATGTAACTAAATTCTCAGACATGAAAAACTTGTTCTATGTAATGAGATCATTTCATTACTACTTCCCATTTTTGATTTTCTTTACACCATTTTAGATTTAACTCCAGATGATTCCATATCTCATACTCAACCTGGATTGACACCACTTGGTTTCGCTATTCTACATGAACAATTAATAACAACACAATTTCTAGTGATATGGGATCGTGATACTCTTCATAGACCTTGTTTGTATGCCTCATTTTCATCTCCTTCAAAGGTGACTAGTGAATTCACACCAAAAGATGTAAGGAGTAACTTTTTATGAGCCAAAGGTGTTTACCTATGCTATTTACTTAGTTGGTACCATTTTATTCTGTGTATTCATTTTTCTTTCCTATGGAACAGCTTTTGTGAAGTTGATGATGATAGTGTAGACGAATATGAAAAATTTTAAGCAACAAAATTTAAGTCAATCAGGCCAAAGGAACCAACGAAACTGAGGTGTTTCATTTAAATCTATATAGAATAATTGTGAATATCTATTGGTTCAAGACCACAGAACATTTTTACCAGTTCACCGGTGTATCTTTTACTCGTAAAGAAAATTATATTACGACTACTATCTATCTATGGAGTATATTGTGAATTAATTTCATACTTAATGTCCATTCTAAAGAAGGATGGCTACCCACGAAACTTTATCAAAGATGCCTATCCCGTACACTATCAACCAGTCTGTAGGAAAAATGCCAGAAAACTGGAAATCCAAGTGTACAAGAAGCCAACACATACTAACCAAATCCTCAACTACAATAACAACAACCCAACAATACACAAAATCAGTTGCGTGCACACTCTATTCAAAAGAGCAAGAACATACTACAGCACAACAACTTCACGGAGAAACGAAGAAAATTACTTGATGTCTATCCTAAAGAAGGGTGGCTACCCACGAAACTTTATCAGTGGTTGCCTATCCCGTACATCATCCATTATAAAGTCATCAACAGATATCAACAAATGCATCATCCTACCATACACAAGGAATATATTAGAGATCATGACAAGACTATGGAGACCACTTGGGATTGGTGTGGCTGCTCATAAACCAACAAATTCCCTCCAAACACTGTTATGCAGACCAAAGGATGTGACAACCAAAGAAGACAAACCGAATATCATTTACAAAATCAACTGCGATAACTGTAGTCAACACTACATTGAACAAAGCGGTCTCCCTCTTCGCCTTCGTCTTTATGAGCAATTGGCTATTAAACATCCTGACATTTCATCACTCATTTCAATGCACGTAGATAACAACTATGGACATGAATTCAATTTTGATAGTGTAGAAATCTTGGACGGAGAGAGGAAATACAAAGAATGTCAGGGAATTCCTAGAAGCTTGGTTGGTATTCACGTCAATTAGTCAGCAATCAGTAGATATATATACATAGACCCAATCTATCAACTAATAAGAAAAATGATAAACGATGGAAAGGTCAGAGGTGAAGCAGAGGAACAGCCAACAAGAAGTCTTTTTAGTCAGTGACACAACAATCGAAGGATACAACCAATCACAAACCAGTTTTTCAGGGCTTGCCACTAAATCACTCATGGAGAGATATTGACAGCCTACTTCATAGTGAAGTTAGTGCTGATGATGTCGTTTAGAAAGATGATGAAAGCTCCATGATTTAACAACCCAGCTGAGAGAGCACAATACAACCAAGATAGAAATGGATTCTAGTAAAATACCAGTCATCTCAGAATGATTTAACTAATATAGATAAGCTGAATGTCCGATATTGAAATACAATTGTATGTTTTTAAGGGAGAATAAAGGTAGTTCTTAACTATAAAATATCCTAATTTGTACATCGGTGTTAATTGGTGAAATTCAGTCTGCTAGGAGTCTTGCAGTATCGCCTCACCTCACGTAGTGTCCTCATCGTGAAGCCTAATCGATTGATTTAGGTCAGTACTGGACACCAAGGACTGTACAGCTACATTCGCATTCTTGATTGTGTCAGTTTGTAGTGAAGGGATTAGGACTCACTATTGATATATCCTGTATCTCAGAGACCTGTATACAACATCCAAGTGAAATGCTTGGAATAATGTAGATGAGATTCATTTTCTCAGTTTTTCTTGTATGGGCAAATGTGATTTGAATCGGATCTTCATCCTAATAGGCCCACATTCTGTGGGTTTTGTGTCCTCTGACCTGGAATGTTTAATCGTGAGGGTTTCTTATCATTCTCGACAACATCAGCAGCATAAACTTCAGAAAGAAGTGAGCGATAAGGTTTTCTCTGCAATTTATTTAGTAGATTATCCTGGTGACCTTACATTTGATTGGCTGTTTTTGCCAAGGTCTCGTCATTGTCTTTGTGTTTATTTTGATTGGTCCTCCTAATGTCCTGAAAGGTCACCTTATCATCGTTTCTTATTGGTTGGTAGATTGAATCATTGTCAATGTCTGTCAATTTTTGACTCACCTGAGTTCCAAGCTTCCAGAAATTATCTGGCATTCTTTGTATTTCCCCTATCCAAGATTTTCCCACTTTCCAGGTCGAATTCTTGTCCGCATTTGTCTGTATTCATTGATATGAGTGAAGATGTCATATAGCTTCACTGCTAGTTGATGTTCATATAAATGAATGTGACGTTTACTTCATGTGACATGTTCTACCGCAGAATACATTGTTGAGCACGCCCACCTCCTAGAATTGATGCGAATTAACGAATACCAAGGAAGCTGTTTGAATATGTGTGTGTAGGCTCTGTGGATTAGCAGATCGTTTCGAAAATTTGGTCTGAACACAGTCAAGAACTTTCTACACATTCGTGAAGCAGACAGAGAGCTACATCTACTGTCTGGGGATTAATGTTACTATCTGACTGCCGAAATCTCTGTAGATGGAACGAAATGTGAGATCACTACTAAAGCAACAAAATACTTGTACTGGATATGAATAGTGATTATTTCCCCTCAGAACTTTATACTTTGAAAGTGAGAAGACAAAAACCAGTGTGTAACTATAAGGAAAACAACTTTTCTCAAGAAATAAAGCCATTAAATCACAAGTTGGATATTCATTTTGATTGGTCAGCTGTAGGATGAAACTATCCAATGAGGTTTTTCCTAACTACGTAGTAACATGAATCAAAGTTGAAATCAAACTTTTACCTTAGTGACTGATGACTTATAATGCTGATTTCGATTTAGGCCAATTCCTATCACTTTGAAATACAAGAAAACATTTTAACATGGGGGGACAGTTTGAGTCTCTTTGGTGTATATTATGTATGTGTTACTTCTATTCTGCGTTAACTCTTTTTCTCTCTAGTATATATAATTGTTTTTTATATCATTATTTATTACTAACAACTATACCCGTCGTACAAGAAGTGGCTATCATGGCTCGGTGGTGTAGTGGATAACGCTCTAATGTTTGAAGTGATCGCTCCCGAGTCCAAACCCTGGTGGGAACAGCTAGCGAGTCCAAAATAGGATGAAATGCGCATCCTGGGTTCCACTGCTAGCCACTACCTTTTTTCTCTCTCATTATTAAAATGAATGTACGATGATCATGTCTGAGATTTCGTACATTAAAGCCTTTTTCTTTCTGTACAACCTGGAAAGACATTGGTTGCAGTGAAATGTTGGAAGCTAGAAGCTTTGATCAGAATTATTAGAACATCTGTACACTGTATTGCTGCTTGTATTATCCCGTCATGGAGTGAACCGAATTGACCAACCTCTATTGGTATGTGGGCTCCCGCGCAGATGCCTTGATATTGCCTGTGTTTCATCTATATATTAACGATGAATAGTGGCTAGCAGTGGAACCCAGCGTTTTGCTCTATTTGCGACTCATCATCTGGATGTACCTGCTACCTAATGAGCAATGTTGTTCCCGCTGGGACTCGAACCGGAAACCAATCACTCCAAACGCCAGCGTTAACCACTGGACCACCGAGTTGTGATAGCCACTTGTTTAGGTGCATCCAGCTCTCAAGGTTCCAATAGTATGAGACGCGCATCAAACTGGATTCCACTGCTAGCCACTACTCATCAATATATAATTGTAATACAGGCTATATCAAGGCCATCCGCGCATGAGTCCATATGCCAATAGAGGCCTATCAACTTGGTCCGCTCAGGACTGGGATAATACATCTAACAACATTAAAACTATACCATTCATGACTTGGTGGTCTAGTGGTCTGGCGTTTGAAGCGATCGATGCTAAGTTCGAGTCCTAGTGGGAAGAATACCTCTCACTGGGAGGTAGGCACATCCAGATGATGAGTCCGAAATATAACGAAATATGCGTCAAGTTGGATTCCATTGCTAGCCACTATCTATCATTCATATATAATCTGTACACTTTAGTATAAATACTTAACACAATATTTTTGTTTATTTCTCATAATTCATCATAACTGAATATTGTAATATTTTATTGCTATACATTATTTTTATGAGTTATAGTTAGCACTGGCTATAAAAAGTGAAGTAATGTACAACTGTATTGAACAATTGGAAAAGGAATACTTCTCTAATTCATATAATTATAAAATAAATACTCCTGTTATTCGATTAGAACAACTTCTTAACTATGCTGAATCATTGTCATCATTAAATTGTTCCTTGAATCTTCATAATTCTCATTCAATCGATCTAAAGGAAAACAATTTAATTTCAAAGAAATTAACTCCTATTGAATTGAATCTTTCACAATTTTTCACAGATTCTAAGGAAACAAATGAAAAAATAGTAGAACATTCAATTAATAATCGATTACATAATTGTTTATCAGTACAGAATAATTTCAGTTTGAGTTATAATTCAAAACAGTTCAATATGTTATTTTATCATCAGGATTATGATATGTTAAAATTGACTAGAGGGAGAGATGAGTTATTGAAAAATAATGAATATACTGATAATCATCGATTGTATAGTACACAAAATAAAGCATATTATTATAGTAATACTTTGAACTCAAATGTAACTGATGAAAAATTAGATCATAAGAATGTCTATACCTGGTGTAAACAGTCACATCATCATCATCATGATCATTTTGATCGTGGTCCTCTGTACGCTAGTATAACAAATCTGATGAAGGATGATCATTCACAAATGTTTTGTTTAGCGGATAGAATAATTGAGGTGAGCTAGTTTTGCCTATTATTTATAACTCCAGTCGTCACTTATTATATATATATATCCCTTTACCAGTGACTTGATAAAGCCTGATTTATGTATATATAGAGGTGTGTACAAATATCTTCAGATTCCACTCCTTCGTGATCATTCAGTTCCTTTGTAATGGAAAAAGGCGGTAAAAAACAGAAAGCCTTACTAGATTTTTTTTTTAAATCTCTCCAATCAATCTGATACTTACATGTTGGTTCACGTGCTTTTTTTGAAGCTTTCGAAGCAAAGTGGTTAATTGAAAAAGGCTTTAACCGGTCTTTGCCTTCTTGTCAAGATTTTGTCAATTTTTCTGCATACTCTAACACCCCCTTCCGTTGAAATAAAGATTGATAATACAATGATATCTTTTGATTGAATAGTATGTTTCAGTGGATCGTGACAAATTATTTCTTAATACTCTTCTACTGAATCTATACTGAGGAGTTGAAAATGTTGGGAATGATTTGCTCACACTTTGGAGAAGTATAATTGATGAATGTTTTTTGCAAAGATATTTTTCATAGCTTTTAATATAAAATTCCAATATTGTATAGCATTGCATCGCCATAGTCAGAACTACAGTATACTACCCGGATGAAGTCCTTCTTACCACCTGATGCATTATGAGCGACTTGTGAATTCGGGTGGATTCAGTGTTTTCTAGTTGCCTGCTGGTTAGTGAACGTAAAGTTGAGCTGGCTTCCAGACAGTCGTGGTGTCCATTTTCTTGTATAGACATAAATTTATTTTGATTTAATAAACAACTATCATGCTAAGCAACTATGTCAGTTGATACATGTGGGTGGGGGGAGGGGGGCATTGAACCCCCTTGTGTATGTTTATAACTATTAACGTTGATGATTGGGCTTGCACTGGTACTTCTTGAGAACCTCTTGTGCAGATTCATTGTGAGGTGTGGTTGTAGAAAGGCTGGTTGACACTAGACATGTTACATCATTCTGCAAACTCTTGACAGGTATTTCACTGGTTTTTCATCAACATGATCTGACTGAATATCTGCATGACTTACTATTTCCTGGTCGCGTAGTAGACGGGTAATATCGTTCTCATCCATCGACGTAACATGATTCATGTTGTCGGGCTTCTTGAACTCATTTTCAGCTTCAGTATGTCCACCATTGAAGTATCTAAGAAAAGATCTCTTCAAAATCTAAGGACTTATCGATGTAGATTCTGTCTGGATGTCATCCAGGATTTGATTGAATCTCTCAATAATCCTCAGTGATGAGGTTTTCATTCTCTCACTATAACATTGCAGAGAAGCTTAAAATTCTTCAGTAGAAAGAGCTGTCGCCATTATTGTATACCCCAGTCACCACTTTTTTTTATATATCTTACCCACAGCCTTGATAAAACCACTACTACGTATATGTAGAGGAGTGTTCAAATTTCTTCAGATTCCCCCCCCCCTTGCTAGTCACTCAATTTCTCCGTGTATACAAATTACAAGGTTTATATATATATATATATATATATATATATATATATTACAATAGCCTGGCCTATTTCCGAATATAATGAATCGGGCGTTCAGTTCTCAATGCTAAACAAAGTCTTATCGGTCCGGGGAATCCGATATGTAGTCACTAAGCTTAACTGACGGTGTACTATGATTCCTCTATATCCAAATTTACAACTGAATAACTCGAGCAGTTGGAATTCATTCAGGATGATCTACATATCTCATCAGGAAGCCAGACCAGATAGATCTAAGCATCAGGTCGAGCTCATTAGCTGTGAACCCGGAGAAATTCAGTGATTTCTAAATCATTCTCAAACTAGTCATCCGGTTTATGTAAGATACCTAGCAAGATTCACCTAGTCTGAAGTAACTTTGTTCTGTCAGTGGTTTACAAATAATCAACTTGTTCAGTTCATAGTAGAATATTTCACAAGTTCATGACACGTTTTATTATTATTATTTGTCCGTTGGGTTCCTAGTGGAACATACAGCTTCAGTAGCACGTCACCACTTCACTCTGTTGTCTGCAGTCTTTCAAACCTGGCTCCACGACTACCTGCCCATAAGCTTTCATTTCCTCCTAACACGATCTTCTCCATGTCACCCTCGCCTCGGAAACCCAACTCGTCGTTACCCATTTGACTTCTACTCGATGGCCTTGCCTAGCCTGGCGCATCATGTCCCCAAACGATCTTTTCAGTCTATGTCCAATCAAATCAAATCCATCTCCACTTTATTCCCCTCTGTATATGTTGGGCGATAGGTTCTTGGTCAGTTGTTTCGTTGCCAGACGGAGTGAGTTCCTTGTTACTTATTCTTATTATTCTAGCCATCTGATCTGATCTCCGATATTGAGTGAGCGCAGGTGACAGCTGTTGATGTGATATCTGTCTGTAGTTTGTTGGAAATGCATTTCGTAACGTGCCAAGTCTCTCAACCATCACATAGAAGCACTGACGACGTTTTTGTTGAAAATCCAGATGTTTTTGTTTATGCTGAGTGCAGTACGGTGCCGTAGATCTCTACACTGATTATTTCAGATGAGTGAAGGAATGCCTGTCCTGCTGCCTTTCCGATTCTCGCTTTGACATCCTCATCTGTGCCATCTGTAGTTTTGATGATGCTGTCTAGGTAGGTAGGTTGATGAGTGGAACAACTTGGTTTAGATTTCTCCTGTTGACGATGATTAGTGCTTGTTGTTGTTGTTGTTGTTGTTGTTAGTTGGGTATCTTCATCACATGTGTCTCCTCTAAGTTCAGATGAAAGAAGTCTCGTTTTCTCTGTCTCACCTCTTCTGTCAACTTGTTATTTTTCGTGTGTAGATCTAGTTTGTGAGACAAGACATAAGACATCAGTCGTCGGTGAAATCCAAATCTTCTTTTTTGTGATCTTTTGATCGGTCAAAAAGCTTATGCCCGTCTTCTCGCTTCTTACAGTTTGTTACGTGATGCAGTCCAGTCAAGTCGACTACAATCAGGAGGATGATCGGTGATAACTCTAGTAGGCGGCAACTTTGTCTTACTCCTGTCCACTGTGTTCACTTCAAAGGCATCACTGAGCTGCTTTCCATTGTGAATCACTTGATATATGGCATCATCATATAGCATATAGCATGAATGAGAAAATGCTGAAGTCATCTTTCATCTTACTGCTGATACAAGATGTAGCAATTTGGGATCGGCACACAGTAATGCCTCGAAGGAACGCCCTCAGCCACCTTGTGCACATCCGTGCTGTTGCTAATACCTGTTGTGTGTGGAGACTAGGAGACATACTACCTGGCTGTTCAAACCTCAGTAAGTGGAGCAGGGTTCGAATCCGTGACCCACGGGTTGATAATCATCTCCCTAAAGCAGTGAGCCACAGTTTTATAGCTATGCCTGGACCTATGTTGATATTGATGATGGTGACCATGACCACCCAATACTTTTCTATTACGTTTCTCAATTTTATATTTTCAGGCTATGCCAAGACGAATTATTAATCTATCTAATGAAGAATGTGATGGTATGTCAAAGTGTAAAGATGATGGTGATATTGGGGAAAATTTTCATCATACCTCTTCAATTCAATACTCTAATTCAGCTTTAAGTGAAAGTATTGTATTCAATCGTGTTCCAGTTGATCAACAGCCATCTCATTCAATACTTCATTATGGACCTTCATTATCAACTAGTAATACTACTTATTCTATGCTAAATACTAATACTACTCATTTGATGAGTACAAATAAACAACCAATTAAAATTATACCAAATATAAATAATCATAATCATCAGACTAAATCAATTGGTTCATTTAATTCTCTTCCATCGAAACGACCTTATCCTATAAAATATTACACATCATATGATAATTTTACATATCATCATCGATTAAAAAATGCTTTATTAAGCTTTCATAAACCATTGAATAGGCGAAAAGTTCAACTTTCATCTATAAAACAATTTAAGAGTAATTTTAATACCTTAAATAATTGTGATGATCATGATGATGCTGGTGATGATGATGATGATGAAATCAGTTTTGAATCAAGCTTCAATGAACCGTAAGTTGTTTTGTTAGCATTTCAACTGTACCAGTTGCATTATTATTATTATTATTATTATTATTATTATTATTATTATTATTATTATTGCTTACTGCATAAATGTACACAAGATTTCTGAGTGATGAACCCATTCGATAGCGACTTTGATAAGTACCTGACAACCAACGCTATGTCAACACCGCCTCTCTGCTCCTCAAAGTTAAAGTCACCAGGGGTCACTACAACGAGTGGTCTGTAGATTAGAATATGAATCTGTGTATAGTTGATTGTTGAACTGAATTCTATTTTGTTTACAGTAGAGATCACTACCACTACTCCATTAATCGACATTTCCATACCACCTTCATTAGTGCGATTTGCATAGATATTTGTAAGTAGTTGTTAATTCCTACATGATTATATTACACCATCTATTTGCCATCACAGATTGGTTATTTCTAAGAGCTTTTCCCTTCCCTACAGTCGCTTGCTTCAATATCTTAGATTATCAAAGTTTCCCACGTAATATATATGCTGTATAACCCTAATTTTGCATACCTTTTCCCTGCTATTTTATCCATCACCTTAAAATAACCAACATGTCTGAGTCTGATTTCACACCACCACTCGTTTTTCTTCCTTCTCCTCTCAATGCACAACTCTCATTGGTTGTCAACTAGTCTTACCTACATGTGGATTATTTAGTGTTATCAAGGTGATTTACAAATGTATATATTCAGTCAGCATCGTTGTCAACTGTATTGTCTGTTGTTGAGACAGTGAAAAGGTCTTCATCAATGGTCTATCTTCTCTTCTTGTCTTTGCGCCTCCATGGTATTCTGGTTGTCGTTGATGTTCTCAGTTGCACTAGGTTTGCATTGTTCGTAATGTGCTAGGCTCATTTCGCTCGTAGACTGTTAGGTTGTACTACCGGTCATAGGAATAAACATCAAATTATTTCCTTTCACTAATTGTTTCCATCCTCTGAATATGTATCATGTACTCTTTTCATTACGCAAACATTCATCATATTTCTATGCCTCAGATACTCAGCTTGAATTGCTGACTGAATAAACTGTCATGATGAAATTGCCGTTCACTTTTCACTTCATTTTCTGTTGTTGTAGACTGGACGTTAGTTAATGTAACATCAACTGGCTGTTTCACGCTATTCTCTTTATTACTGTTATTCAGATGTAATAATCATTTTGTTTGAAAATATTGTACTGGGAATGACTCTGTTGACACATTACATGCTGAGTGAGAATTACATAATGTATCATAAATACAAGTCTGTCAAACCATGGTTATCTCAGATAGTAGTCAAAATGATAATCAGTATGATGCTACCTCTCTGTCTTTACGAGTTAGATTTGGATTAGGATGGGAAGTCCTGAATAGGTGATAGTGATGCGTGATGAATTTAATATAATAGTCGATCGAAACGTTTTGATGATTGAAGTGAAATAAAAATCTGATCATTATTCGGACCTTTTAGATGAGTTGGTAGAGCCGTTGGGTTGGCAACCCGATGGTCACTGGTTCGAATCCGTCCGCCGTCGAAATTTTCATTTCACCTTCAGTCATGATCATCATCATCATCATCCAGGATCATTACTAGTCTTCCAAATCATAGCTATCTGAGATAGCAGTCAAAATGATATTCTTTTATTTTCTTGATTATCTTCTCTACTTTTTTTTCTCTTCTTCTTCCAGTGAAGATATTACATCGAATTCAATATTCAATCCATCTTTTAGTTCAAATAGTTGTATAAGCTCAGAGTTGAATGGTATTTCATCCCATGAAAGTGATTATGATTATTGGTATAATGATGATAATAAATGTTATGGAAGATCTTTAAGTGAATTCAATTTGAATAGTCCACCACCGTCTACAGCTCAAATTGCTGAACACTTTAATGCTGAATTACCAGGTAAATTTATAATGGAAAGTCATTTAAGTCGATTAACTCTTTCTGATATGGAACAGAAACGTTTATATGAAGCAGCTAAAATTATACAAAAATATTATAGAGCTTATAAAAAGCATAATCAATTAATTGTACACAATAATAGTCAACAGTTATCACATATATCATCAAATTATGATGATAAGATTGATGTAAACAATTTTGATATATCCTCTATTCATAATACTGTATATGATATTCATTGTAATCATATTGAACAACAAATTCAACATAATTCACTTGTCATTGTTGACTGCCCAATGGAACCCGTGTGGAGTACTGCTACTACTACTACTACTACCACTGCCACTACTAATACTACTAACATTGATGATGGTGTCTTATTGAATTTCGAAAATGATACATCAGTCGGTTTACAAGTTGAAGTGGAAACATCATATGAAGAGGCAATAATGAACAATAATAAGCAACAAACAACGTCAATCCTCTCTGATGATCAGTTATGTTTAACAGAACAATCAAGATTCAATTGTTGTTTACAGTCAATACATTCACCTGATTCTTCAGAGCTTCCGCCACCACCGCCACCGCCGCCGCCGCTGGCACCACAGCCACCGTCACCATCATTCAATGGAGCATGTAGTAAAGAAATTGAAGCTGCTATCATTATTCAAAGTTATTATAGACGTTATAAACAGGTAAATTGAATATTTTCTTGTGATAAACCGTAAATTATTTAATTCATAGGAAGAATATAAATAAGAATATAAATAGGATAGTTAGGGTTGGATTTGAGCCTGTGATGCACTAATTAGAAGGATACTTTTCCGCCTAACCTTACTTGTAGAGTAGCCAAATTTTCCATATCTCTGTTATAGGTGTTGCCTCATTCCTATACATGTGTTGGGTGTTGATTGATTCGATGAACAAAGATTCAATCTCTCTCTGCACCTAATTATATTGGAGTTGAGTGACTTTATCCCACCGTATTGTGTGATTGTGTATTAATGTATACATGGATTGCAATATGACACTGGAAGTAGTCAAAAACCAACTAAATGTTCACTCATAACTTACTCATAGAACTAAGATATCCGCTGATGAGATCATATTAGGCGTACAGTTGTGTCTAACATCCACAGTCTTCAAGTTTCAGGCCAAAATATACAGACAGACAGAAGGAGTAGTAATGGGATTGCCAGTATCCGTAATCCTAGCAGTCATATTTATGGATAGTTGGGAGGATATGGCTTTACAGACGTATAATCCTACACCTAAGATATGCTGGAGATATGTGGATGACACATTTACTGTGTTGAAATCGGAACACATCGAAAATTTCCTCACATGTAACATAAACTCACTAGTCGACGCAATCCAATGCAGTTACCAGGTAGAAAATGAACAAGCAGAACTACCTATGGTAGGTTTCAGGATAAAGCGAGGGATAGACGGTGGTTTGGATACTACTGTCGGCCGGCTTAAGGATTCGATAGATCCAATTGAGAAAAATCGTCTAATCTACCAATTACTGTCAGGTCAAGTACATCGGTGAAACTAGCCGGTTGGGGGCAGTTAGATTAGTGGAACATACGAATTTCGCTAAATATAGAATGACAGACCAGAATAAAATCTATAAGCCAAGAAAAACACTCGGTTGTTGCAATAGTTGGATTCATTAACACACAACCACACAATCGAATGGGTGGGATAAAACCACTCTACCTAAGTTCAATGTAATTAGGTGCAGAGAGAGAGAGAGAGAGTTACTGGATCTTTTTTCATCCAGTCAACCAACACCCAACACGTAATAAGAATGATGCAATACCTATACCAGAGATATGGAAAATGTTACTACCAATAGAAACTAGTTCACTAGTTACTAGCCGGTCCTAAGGCCGGATAAAGAGGGAAGGTTAGGCGTACGGCTAGTAACCCTACCCCGTAAAACCAACCCAACCGCTAAAGAAACTTCAAAGCACAAAGAAAATACAAGAAATCAAAATAAACTTATTCCTCGCTGGAATCGGAGAGACGAAATGACGCCGGATGGTGAAAGCCTTCGGGAAGCCGATTGGCCGACGTGTCTTCTCTCGATGAAAGCTAAAGTTATGATAGGGACATGGAATGTCCTCACTATGTTTTGACCTAGCAAGGCAGCCCAGATTGCAAAGGAGATGAGAAGGTATAGCATAAAAGTGCTAGGAATCTGCGAAAGCAGGTGGAATGGAAGTGGACTCTCTAAACTGTCAACTGGAGAGTCAATAATCTACTCCGATATTGTCACCCAGATGACAACCACGAGTACACTGAGTTTTGTAGTGGCTATCATGATGTCCCCAACAGCATTGAAGGCTCTCATACAGTGGGAACCAATCTCCTCCACGATCATAACAGCAATAGTAATAGTAATAATAACATTGATTGTGGGGGTTGTAAACACAACTGATGAGAAACGATTAAATAAAAGCTGTTGCTGTTGCTCTGTGTAAACTTGTTAAGCGAAAGAATTGTATGAACAATCTGAACAATAGACCATCTACACATATACCAAATATTTAATGTAATGTTTCACTTTACATTTTGTTGTTTAACAAAATTCTGTGTATTCTGCTGAAGAAGCTGGTAGTGACCTGTAGACACTCGTTTTGGCTGACGGGATGCACAGATGCTGGTAAAATACACGGTCTCTTGAGCGTCTTGAGCAGAAATTTGAGTATATTTGTCAAGGATTTAGCACCTGTGAAATGCAAGAGGATTCTCTATAGGACTGGTCTATTGCAATTAATTCTAGTTTAATGATAGACAGTGAAATAATATAGTGCGTTAAAAACTTCATTTGCTTGTGGAGGTGTATAAGTTCGAACGGTCTGGTTGGTGACAAAAACCAACATTTGCTAAGTTGCATCTTCTGTGGTGCCAATAAGCAAGATATCCCACTACATATCACAAAACAAGCATACTGCGTTGCAGTCCTCTTCATTCTGTTACATCACTGTGAGACATACCTGTTAAAAGTAGAAGATATGAGGTAGTTACAAGATTTTGATCATAGGTGTCTTTGTTGCATTACTCGTGTTTGGTTTGACTGCTGTGTGAGTAATGTTAAGGTCATTGAGGTGAAGGGTGCTACTAGGCAAAACAGGCAAGTCGATTGATAACGTTCTTAACCTTCATCGGTTGTGATGGTTTGAATAAATAAGTACTGCCTATGCTGAGCCACCGCCTACCTCGACTTGTCATGCTAGGATTTGAAGATGGTTGAGGGTAGGCATATGAAGATATGGAATCAGCCGATGAAGTCCCTTACCGTTGGTCTGAGTCGTGTAGCCTGCTGATGACGCATGTGTTAGCGTGTGCTGTTGAGAATCAAGAGATCTTTTCGTATCCGTGAAGTGTCTTTGTCGCCAACCAACAAGTAAGGCAGCTTGGCTAGTTCTGAATTAATCCACTCTTTATTGAAAGAGTATTACTGTATTGTGCACTGAGATATGTTTGTGAATTCCTGTTTTTCTTATGTTGTTGCTTGTATTATCACAAATCTTAGTAGGGACAAGTATTGCTCATTGGGAGGCAAGTACATGCAGCTGACGAGTTCCAAATAGGGCGAAACACACATCAAGCTGTATTCCACTGCTAACTCCTATCCATCCTTACTATGAAATTATGTTGTTCTTGTTGATTGTTATGCATAAATTAAACTTGTATAACTACTATCATTGATAATATATGTCTCATTTTTACGTCTATCATTTTCAATCAGTATGCATATTATAAACGATTGTGTCAAGCTGCATTGTTAATTCAAAATCGGTATCGTTGGTATATGAATCAAAAAAAGAATGGTAATGGAGTTTCATCTGGTACAAAAATGAGAAAATCAAGATCAAATCAGTGTAATAACTCACGATACAGGTTTGTTTAGCGTATTGTTTATACTTTTGATGGTATATTACTTGAAATGTTTGTCCTTCTTCTTAAGTCTCTCTTGAAATGACTGAGTTAATAATACTAGTAATAATACACAATGAGATATTTGAACTGCACACAAATGATCATTGTTCTCCTTCAAAATCTATTACCTTCATTAATCCATCAAAGTCAAAAGACAAAGACTGACCTACGACAGTGAGAAAAACACTTTATTCTTCAAAAATTTATCATTTATATACAGCAATTTTCATAAGCATATAAGGCCACTAGGTCAAAAGTTAAATAGCTTATTTTCATTGGTCAATACTGTAGGTCAAAATTATCCAATAAGGTTTTTTCCTGACTATACAGTGACATGAAACTTCTACTATAGCAGCTGATGACTAAAAATGTTGGTTTCTATTTATCGTCTCCGTTTACCTCTGTTGGTGTATGACTGGGTATCTCTTCAGACATATATTACGTAATCATATCCATTCATTTCATTTAGTTTCATGTAAGGTGATAGGTTTCCAATATAAAAAAAGATGCTTGGGGTCAGGAGCAAACCATCAGTTTTTCTATCGTGATTAATCATTGCCTTACTCCTGTTCCATTAAGATCAGTCTACATGAGGCTATCGTCTCAGATCATGATAAGAGACTGAGGTAGATATACGTAATCAGCCATACTATTTTACTGACTTTAAAAAGCATCCTACTTATAACTGGGGATTACTATCTACATCCAAAGTCTTCTAGACACTTTGAGTGGAAATTTTAGAATGTTTAGGATACACTTCTCACTACCCGAATGCGAATTGTTGCTCCAGGATTGGTCTTCAACGGTGTCCCATCGCAGCTAACAATAGAGAGTGTATTGATTGAGTATGTCGACCACTTCACTTACCTGGGAAGTAGGGTCAGCCCTGCCCTGGTTGCTCAGTGGCCGATGAAATCACTACACAACTACAAAAGGCTCAGTTGGCTTTTGTCAACTCACACCACCTGAGGCACCGCCGTGATCTCCGATTGTCGATTAAGGGTCGCGTGTACTGTACAACAGTCCGCTGTGTTCTACTGTATGGTTGTAAGACATGGCCATTGCGGGTGGAAGACATGAGGAGGCTTCAGGTGTTTGACCACTGTTGCCTTCGTAGTATATGCCGTATTCCGTGGTGTCACCACATGAGTAATGCATAAGTCAGGTGTAGGATTTTAGGGACAAGAGGTAAATAAGTTGACGAGGTTGTGAACCTTCATAGACTGAGATAGTTGGCTGTGGCATGTGTTACGTACGCCTAATTGCCGTCTGCCTCGTCACACAAGGTTGACCGAAGTAGGTTCAGGTTGGAAAAAAGCTCGAAGCGGTTAGACTAAAACGTGGCACCAATGTATGAAGTTTTTGATTGTTGTTTTGAACCATGTGAGGCGATGCAGACTAGGTGGTTGGGGTCCGCGGGACAAGATGAACCAGTGGTTGAAGATTATAGGTGATATTGCTGAGAACCAATGTCAATGGGGCAGATGTGTACTCACTATCCTCATCTTAACGCTATACCAAATCTCACCATTTTCTCTTTCTTCCTTTCTCTGTTTTACTACTTCATATTTCTTTAGACTGAATTTTCTTTTCTCCATCTTCCACTTCACTGCCTTTTTACTTGATGTACTGATACTAGCTGTGGCAACTCGGACCATTACGCAGTAATGCCTTGCCCTATGTCAATTTGGATGGATGAATGGATGAATCTACTATGTGTGTGTGTGTGTGTGTGTGTGTATACCTGCGGTGATACATACCTTGGCACGAGTAATCGGACCATGAAATCGAAGGTGATGAAACATGTCCCTAAATAGCTGGAAAGACAATCTGATAAATACAAGGGGGGTAGACAGTTTTCATCCTCTCTAGGTGAACACAGGATTGACTCTGAAACAGTCTTTAGGAGCCATCAGAACCGTATACTTTGGTTCTTTGAAGCCGGTAGCTATACGAAGTTGAAAAAACTTCTTTCGTTACCTTAAGCCTTCAACCTTGGCGATCTTTATCTCATTTTAATACCAAGGGAGGTGTGAAAATGTATTATTCCTCCTTACTATCCCTATATTCTCCAAATCCTGTATTATCTTGTATTATTACCCCACCCTATTTTCATCCTTCACATAAAATGCCTTGGTAAGTAAAAATGTGTGTCATAAGATTGTTCGAATTGTATTGCGCGAATACACCGCACATTTCTTAGATAACCCCTCTGCGTCATCTTACTACATTATACATCATCAAAGGGACTAATTACTTTGACTAATTGTGCATTATCTCAGTTGCTACCCATGAAATCAATTATTATAGTGGATTATGAATGTTTTAGCTTCATCGTCATTATCAATATCAACGTAAGGACCTTGTATTATTAAGAAAACATAATTCATTTGTGTATATGTTTGATTCAGATCTCCTATTGAATCGATTTGCAAACGTCGGAAACCTCGAACTCAATTAAATCAAGTAAACATAGTTCCATGTTTGATACCGATGATAGGAAGTGGTTAGCAGTGCGATACAGAACGTGCGTTTCGCCCTCCTCGGGACTCTTCAGCTCAACAGGTTTGCTCGCCGTTGACGTGTCCGAAATAGGAAGAAACATGCGTCCTTGATTTCACTCCTATTTACAACTCATTATTGGTATCAAAGTTAAATTACAAGCAATAACGAGACATCCACGTAGGAGCCTATATGCCAATAGGGACGGATCAATTTACGGAAAATTGCAAGCAATTACATACTTCTATATGATATACCACATAATTGTGAGAATTCAACCGACGCCTAAGCATTGAAAACTGGACAAACACATCGATTACCGTAGTCTGCTACCATCTATCTCGACTTTCAATGCTATGGTAAGTCGGATTTCATTGGAAGAGGGTTGGGGGTAGGTAGCCAGGCAAAGACTTGATACCAGTCGATAAAGTCGCTAACTGTTGATTTGAGGCGCGTAGGGATGTGTAGACGATATGATGGGTTCTCAAGATAATAGGAATCAGTAGTTGAGGACTCTTGGTACTGTGGCTGGATATTCGCCACATTGGCACAAGTGTATTGATTCCTTGACATCTTCTAAAACCCGAATGTCTTAACTAACCTAACCGTAATTTTTAAATTTCGTCTACCCTTGTGGCAGCTTTGTCTACTTTGATATCAGTCTTATTGTATCCACCGGGTCGTCGTATGCGCTACCGTGAAGTGTGGCAAGTTGAACCAGTGCAGTTGTTTGAGAGATTCCACATTGATTTTATTTGTTTATTTTGAAAAATAAACACTTAATTGAACCCACGAGATAATCATTCTTTAGTCATGCTTTTAAAACTATTTTTTTGCAAAATATTTTGTAAGTACGTGGTAATTTGCTGCGCAAATAGCACTTTTTGCCACCACTCGAATAATAAAAATGTCTTACTAGGGACGTGCTACTGACTGATATAAGTAGTTTAAATTGTTTCATAAACTTTCCTTTGATAAACTTGTATAGATGATATGATTTACTTCGTAATGGCTAGTGGTGGTATCCAAGATGCGTATTTCTGCCTGCATTTTAGTGACTGGTGGTGTTCTCACTGACCCTATTATCGAGCACCTATAGCTTTTAGCACTAAAGGGTTATCCGCCAAGCCACTGATTCTCCATGTGTGTAGTTGCTACTAAATGGCATACAAACAAATTGTCTGCTAAAATAAGTGATTCTGTTGTGATGAACTGATTAGTTTCTGGGATTTTCTACGGAAGTATGGTACTATTTACTTCCGAATGTTGAAAATTAGGTTGTTTTCCTGATAGGCAGCCTTCATGTTACATTCTTAACACTGGCTGTATTTCTTGACCTGAAAGCGGGATTCGACTCTGTCGATCGTGAGGTCTTCCAGCAGTGTCTCTCACTGAAACGGGTACTGTGTAAGTGCATCGCTCTGTTGAGGACTCTTTTCTCGAGCATTCGAAGGCGTGTTAGAGCCTATAATGAGTTGTCAAGTGAGCTGTGTGCAACATCGAAATAAACGGTATTATGGAGATATCCCTTTCGTCGTCTGACTTCACGGGGATTGATCTGATCACAGGAGAATCCTTAGCAGATTTGGGACACACTGATAAAATACTTCTGTTAGATGAAGACGCTGAAAAGATCCATATTCATCGGAACACGTTGAGTGACAATTCCAAAATGTTTAGGATGTGTTCCTCACCACATAAATACATATTACTACTCCAAAACGGAGCTTCAGTGATATCCTGCCCAGCAAAAAAGAGTGAAGTGGTGAAGTGTGCTGAACACTTAACTGATAAGTCGAATCCTTGAAGTTGTTTATTACTACAGTGCTCAAATTAACCCAACTATTTGCTGAACTCTAAATACTACAACTGTGTTGAGCGATCAACCTCTAGGAAGTTATTTTGACTGTTGTAGAAGATCATCAAAATTTGTTAGTTGATGCTCAATCGTCAAGGCTTATATTCACAATACTGAAAACTGATTTCCATCCGTAAAAGCTTTAACCTGGATGGATTCAGTTCTGTTGAGGCCAACTACTACTAGACTATTTGTAGTAGGGGTGTGTGATTATTCATTGCATATGCATTACAAATTGATATCGTATCTATTTTCAGTATTCTGTTACATGAGGAGCATTTTGTTAGGGTGGCTAATCTCTAAGAAAACTAACTTATAATATGTTTATATTATCATAATAAAGTTTAAGCCTTATTACTTTCGCGTCCTTTTTGCTTATTTTTACCACAGTTTAGGATACTAAACGCTGATTGGTCCATTTTACACTTTGAATGTGCTATTTTTGTTTTCTCTGGCCAAGGTCATCTAACGGATATATAAACGACTAAGTTTTCACCTATCATTATTCGGTTGGAGTAAATAAATTTTTAATCTCATCGTATTCTTCTGGTGTTAGTGGAATATCGAGTTGAAGAGGTCATTGTTCTATCGTTAGTCGTAT